AGTCCCACCCTCCCATACCCACCCGTCCATTATCACTCTCCCATTTTCACCCTCCCATTCTCACCCTCTAATTCTCACCCTCCCACCCCTCCTAGATTAACCCTCGCTTTCTAATCTCACCCTGCCATTCTCACCCTCTCATTCTCACCCTCCCATTCCCACCCTCCCATCCTCACCCTCCCATTCTCACCCTCCCTTTCTCACCCCTTATATTGGCCCTCCCTTTTGATTCTCACCCTCCCATTCTCACCCTCCAATTTTCACCCTCCCATTCTCAACCTCCCATTCTCACCCTCCCATTCCCACCCTCCCATTCCCACCCTCCCATTCTCACCCTCCCATTCTCACCCTCCCATTCCCACCCTCCCATTCCCACCCTTCCATTCTCACCCTCCCATTCTCAACATCTCATTCGCACCCTCCCACTCTCACCCTCCCATCCGTCCTGGATTAACCCTCGCTTTCTACTCTAAACCTTTCATTCTCACCTTCCCATTCTCACCCTCCCATTCTCACCCTCCCACACCTCCTAGATTAACCCTCGCTTTCTATTCAACCTTCCCATTCTCACCCTCCCATTCTCACCTTCTCATTCTCACCCTCCCAGCCTAACCCTCCCATTCACACCCTCCTATTCTCACCCTCCCATTCTCACCCTCCCATTCTCACCCTCCCATTCTCACCCTCCCGTTCTCACCCACCCGTTCTCACCCTCCCATTCTCACCCTCCCATTCTAACCCTCCATTCTCAACCTCCCATTCTCACCCTCCTATTCCCACCCTTCCATTCTCACCCTCCCATTCTCGCCCTCCAATTTTTTCACCCTCCCATCCTCACCTTCCCATTCCCACCCTCCCATTCTCACCCTCCCATTCTCACCCTCCCATTCCCACTCTCCCATTCCCACCCTTTCATTCTCACCCTCTCATTCTCACCCTCCCACTCTCACCCTCCCACCCCTCCTAAATTATCCCTCGCTTTCTAATTCTAGCCTTCCCATTCTCACCCTCCCATTCTCACCCTCTCATCCTCACCCTCCCATCCTCACCTGTCCAACTTCCAGGCTGGGATGATCACAGCCTTTGCAGCCGGATTTACCCCATGACCATGCGGGGCCCTTTTTGGAATGCGGGGCCCCCGTTCCACCTCCCATTCTCACCCACTTTTTCATCACCTGTCCAACTTCCAGGCCGGGGTGGTCACGGCCTTTGCAGCCGTCAACAAGTGTCGACCCAAACAAATGAACATGCAGGGCACTCTAATGCCTCTCCCTTCTACCTCACCTTAGGAGCAGGTACGGTTACAGTGAGGTGGGGAGGGGTTTGGGGGTGTATCAAGTGATTGTAAGGAACGTGAGTATAGCAAGGAATAAAGTATAGCAAGGAGTGGGAAGTCATAAAAAGGAACGTGAGCCCAACGAGGACCAAAAGGCTCATATAATCCCAGCAGCATCTGGAACGACCTTCACTGGGCACAGCTTCGGCGGCACCGCTGCCACGGCGGCACCTCTGCCCCTCATGCGTGCTGGGGATTACACTGGTGTGGGCCTCCCAGACGATGTGAGCTTGAATGGGTTTTGAGATGCGACTTGACTTTGTTTACATGAATGGCCAGTGTCTCTCCTTGTGGTGAGAAGGCCTAGGTGAACGCTGAGGGGTTTTCGGAAGCCACAGCATCTAAAAGTGCTCTTGAGTTGACTCAAAATGTGCCATGTGCCATTGTAACGAAACGACTTTGAGTCGACTCATCCATTCTTGTGGGGGGGAAGAGGGTGAGGTGGATTTTGAGGGGATTTGAGAATTCCCACCATCTAATTGGTGTTTTGAGTCGACTTAGAATTATAATGGTGGCACCACTCTGACACACTGCCACCTCCACCCCACTGCGACTTTTGAGTCGACTCAAAAGTCTGAAGGGTGGTACCACACCGTGCCTTCTCCACCTGTCCTTGTCGCCACCCAAGTGTCACGGTGCTACTACATAGCCCTGAGCATGAACTCAAGCCGCGGGCAAACAAACTCCTCGTATGCTCCATGCAGGCTTTAAAGTCGACCCAAGAGCCACCATGCCTTCTCCACCTCCATCCCACCAGGCCCACATGTGCCACAGCGAGTTGTCAGACGCCACTCAAGTCGAGTTAACTTTTGAGTCGACTCAAATTCACGCCACCGTGCCTTCTTCACCTCCCTTCCTACCACCCCACCAGGCCTACCGGTGCTACAGAGAGAATCTTGATGCCACTCAAGTTGCAGGGAGGTTCCTCGTGTGTACCCTGTTCGAACGCACCCTGTCCGAGGTCATTGCTGACGTGGACACGCTGGGAGCGGCTGCTGTTCTCGTTTTAAACGCGACGGCGAAGCCCGAAATGCAGTACCGCATCCCATTCTCAAAGACCCCGGCCATATTCTTAGAGAAAAGGCATCGGTGGATTATTGAGGAGTATATCAGATCCGCAAGCAGGTTAGTACCTATTCCTTGTTTTAACCGTGAAAGCAAAACGCTAAATGTAGTCCAATCTTCCTCCTCTCTTCCCTCCTCTCTCCCCTCCTCTCTTGAACCCTCTCTTTCATCCTATTTTCTCCTCTCAAGGCTCCTATCGTTACCCCTCTCCTCCCGCCTCACTCCCGTGATCGCATCCCTCTTCCCTTCCCTCCCTTCCACTCCAACCCTACACTGCCTCTTGGTCGACAATATTCATTTCCTTCCCTCTGCCCCCTTGTCTCTTGCCCCTTGCCCCTTGCCCCTTCTACCTTCTCCTCCCCCTTCCCCCTTTCCCTTCCCCTCCCCATTCCCCCTCCCCTCCACTCTCAATCCATCCCCACACCCATGCTTTCCACTTTCACCATCTCCTAGTCCTCAACTTCTCACTGCCTCGCCCCCCTTCCCGTCCCACCATGTCAATGCAGCCCCACGGCAACACTTTTCACTTTCACTGTCTCCTATGCTACCAATGCCCCCCAAGTCGCTTACTTCTTCTCTACCGGTCCTCCATGCAGCCCACTCTACCGGCTCGCGTCGTTGGGCCGAGTTTCCAGCTATGGGCATCAGCTGCCACCGCTGCAACCGACCTGCCGGAGTTTGGTTACAAGTCCGGGACGTCTATGTCAACTGCGCATTTGGCGGGGATCATGGCGCTGATTGTGCAGAACAAGCCGAGCTGGTCCCCCTCGCATGTGATTTCCGCGATAAGTACGACGTCGTATACAAAGAATAAAAACGGGCAGCTGATTCAACGGGCAGATGGAAAAAACGCGAACGGGTGGGACTATGGATGAGGACATGTGGATCCCACACGCGTCTTAAATCTTGGACTCACATTTCATGCGGCACACAAGCATTTGATGAAACTCCTTATGATGAGGGATCCGATAAGAGCGAAGAAGCGATTTTGGCGCACAGGAAAGGCGTACCCGATTCTACCCTAGAACCTCAACCGCGCCTCAATAATGGTAATGACGAAAGAAAAGCGGTAATAGCGGTAATATCGCCTCAACTGCACGGCGTTACAGTAGTGTATCAGCGAATGAAGAATGTCTACAACTTACCATGTACGTATACCGTGAAAGTGGTCCCTCCGCCTGGATTTTCCGTGAGAGTTTGGCCCAAGAAGATCACCATTCTTCCCGGAAAGATGAGGGGTTTTAAAGTCACAATTACCAGGTTCTTGCCTTTTGATGCATTTGTCAAACTATGCTTGTTATATTTGTGTAGGCTGTAGTGGGGTAGCCCATATGGGGTACAACCCAATGTTAGGGTTAGCATATGTACCCAACTTTCTTTCAATGCATCTCATTCCTTCTAGTATACTTGACATGGTATCATAGCAATAGGTCTGTAGGACCGTTTTTATTTCGGGCCCACCTACCGTTGCGGTTACTGAGCTACCCCACGCCTTGACCTGCGCTGCGCCGCCTGCGCGCGCCTTGCCTTTCTCTGATCTGTGACGTGCTGCGCTGCGCGCGCCGTCCCGCTGCCCCACGCGCAGCCCTCACCGCTAGCGCGCTGCCCGTTGCTGCTTGCGCGCCGCCCTAGCAGCTCGCGCGCCGCCCGCTGCTGCCCTGCGCGCCGCCCCAGCAGCCTGCGTGCCGCTCGCTGCTGCCCTGCGCACCGCCCTCGCTGCTCGCGCACCGCCTAGGCAGCCAGCGCGCCGCCCTCGCAGCTCGCGCGCCGCACGCTGCTGCCCTGCGCGCCGCCCCTGCCACTCGCGTGCCGCCCCAGCAGCCTGCGCACTGCCCGCTGCTGCCCCGCGCGTCGCCGCACCTGCGCGCGCGCTGCCCCTTACGGGCGCACTGCCCCTTACCCGCGCGCTGCCCCCCTACCCGCGCGCGCGCTGCTCCTTACCCGCGCGCTGCCCCTTACTCGCGAGCGCGCTGCCCCCTACCCGCGCGCTGCCCCTTACCTGCGCGCACACTGCCTCTGCCGGTCAGCGCACCGCCCACCTGCAGCCTGCGCCCTGCCTCTGCTGTCGACGAGCTGCCTCTGCCTGCTAGCGTGCCGCCCGCAAGCTACACTTACTTGCGCCACAGTCATGGCGACTCTTAATGTCCTCGCTTTCGATTCTGACGGTCGCCCGATTGAATTCGCTACTTGGCTAGATGACCTGCAACTGTTTCTTATGACTGATGCCAAAGACGGCGTGTCCCTGTACGATCACGCGTCTGGTTCCTCCGTTGCTCCTGATGACACTGCTGATGCTCTCGCTCGCTCTCAGTGGTAGACCCGTGATGCTACTGTGCGCCTCGCTATTCGCAACCACTTGCCGATCACTGAGCGCGCGCACTTTAGCCAGCACAAGACAGCCTAGGCACTGTATACTGCTGTAGTCGCCCGCTACTCTTCCCCAGCCACTGCAGCCCTAGGTCGTCTTCTCCTACCCTACCTGTTCCCCGACCTGTCCTCGTTTACTACCGCAGAGGACCTCATCTCTCACCTTCGCGCTAGTGACGCTCGCTTTCGTGCCGCCCTTCTAGCCGAGTTCCTCGCCGAGAATCCCCCCCCGATGTACTTTACTCTCTACTTCCTAATCACCCGCCTCCCTGACACTCTTCGCTCAGTCAGGGACCACTTTCTCGCCCTAGACCCTACCACTCTCACTGTCGCCGACTTCGAGAAGCACCTCCTAGCAGCCGAAAAGTACATTCTCGTTGTAGGTGCTGCTCGTGACACTCCTCGCACTCCCCTCTTTGAGGGGTGCTCCCCCTCCCCTCTTGCCCCCTCCTACGCCTCTGCTGAGCGCAGCTGCTGTCGACTTCCTTGGTGCTGAGGAGGTCGGGGCTGCTTCCGCTCCTAGTGGGAAGCGCCGCAGCGCCAGGGGCAGCAGGGGTGGCAGGGGAGGTGGAGGTGGCGGTGGAGGGGGCGGTGGTGGAGGCGGCGGGGGAGGTGGAGGTGGTGGGGGTGGTCGTGGGGGTGGAGGTGGTGGTGGGGGCGGCAGTGGTACCGGGAGCAGTGGAGGTGGCAGCGGCGGTGGTGGGGGAGGAGGGAGCGGTGGTGGCAGCGGTGGTGGGGACTGGAGTGGAACCGGCCAGAGGGGGAGCTCCAGTGGTGGCCAGGGGCAGCAGCAGCAGCAGCAGCAGCGTCAGCGTGAGACCCCCACGCCTCAGCAGCTTCATGACTGGTATGCTCAGCGTGGGGCGTCTGGGGGTCCTGTTCGCTGCCCTTAAATGATTCGCATAGGTCCTCGCGCTGGTCGCCCATGCAACGGTTTTCACACTGAGTACCGCTGCTTCTCTCGGCTTAGCGACGCCTGGCGCGCCAAGTTTCCTGAGGCTACTGAGTTTCCCCCCTGGGCAGACCTGCTTAGGCGTGATGTTCCTATCTTTGATCTTGACTCTGCCATGTATGCATTGACTGTTAGTGCTGAGGGTCACTACTACTTGTGTATGCCGCCTGACCCAGGTGTAGCCACTTCTGCCCTAGGTGCTAGTGAGTGTGCGCTCCCTGGTACTGAGTCGGCTCAGGCCTTGCACACTTTCACACTTGACTCTAGTGCTTCTCGCGGTTTCTTTCGCGACAGTACCACAGTCACTCCCCTCCCTGCACCTGTTCCTGTCTCACTGGCTGACCCCTCTGGGGGCCCGGTCCTTGCCCGGTCCACCACTGTGCTTCCGTACCCGGCGGTCCTGTCTGGTGAGCTGTCAGGTCTCCACATCCCCTCGTTCTCTACGAACCTGGTGAGCAACGCCGTCCTTCAGGATCATTGGGTTGACACCTTTACTCCTGGAGGACAGCGTGTGGCGATCTGTACGTGCTCTAGGACTGGCCGCCACCTGGCCACGTTCACTCGTGAGCCTGGGTCCAGTCTGTACACCCTCACCACTGTGTCGCGCTGCGCCCCTTTGTCTCCGCAGCTGTACGCGTCTGCTCAGGTAGCTACCCAGTGTGAGTGTCACCGCCTGTCGCACTAGACTCTTCTTTGGCACCACCGCCTTGGTCACCCCTCCCTGCCTCGCCTGCGTGGCATGCACTCTCGCTCCCTGGTCTCTGGTCTTCCCAGGTCTCTACCTGCCCTCCCTCCCTTCGTCGCATGCGCCGCCCTGCATTTCTTGCGTCGAGGGGCGGCAGCGCGCCGCTCCTCATTCCTCCTCGTTCCCTCCCACAGAGGCTCCACTGCAGACTCTCCACCTAGACGTGTGGGGCCCAGCCCGCGTCCAGGGGCAGGGCCGCGAGCGGTACTTCCTGCTGGTAGTCGACGACTACACGCGTTACACCACGGTCTTCCCCTTGTGCAGCAAAGGGGACGTCCCTGCTGTCTTGATCCCTTGGATCCGCGCTGTTCGTCTCTAGCTCCGCGAGCGGTTCCACTCGGACTTTCCTGTCCTGCGTCTGCACTCTGACCGAGGTGGTGAGTTCACCTCCGACCTCTTGCGAGCCTTCTGTGAGGAGCACGACATCCGCCAGTCGTTCACGCTTCCGGCCTCTCCGCAGCAGAATGGGGTTGCTGAGCGCCGCATTGGCTTAGTCATGGAGGTCGCTCGCACCTCCATGATCCATGCGGCTACCCCCCATTTTCTGTGGCCGTTTGCAGTCCGGTACGCTGCGCATCAGCTCAACCTCTGGCCCCGTGTCTCCGTTCCGGAGACCTCGCCCACACTGCGTTGGACGGGAGAGGTTGGCGATGCGTCGCGTTTCCGGGTCTGGGGTGCCCATGCCTTTGTCCGCGATACCACTGCGGACAAGCTCTCCGCTCGCGCCATTCCCTGCGTCTTCCTTGGCTTTCCCCGGACGCGCCTGGCTGGCAGTTTTACGACCCCGCCTCGCGCCGTGTCTTTGCGTCTCAGGACGTCACCTTAAAGTCACAATTACCAGGTTCTTGCCTTTAGATGCATTTGTCAAACTATGCTTGTTATATTTGTGTAGGCTGTAGTGGGGTAGCCCATATGGGGTACAACCCAATGTTAGGGTTAGCATATGTACCCAACTTTCTTTCAATGCATCTCATTCCTGCTAGTATTCTTGACAACATTTTGTTTTGGAACAATAATATGGACCGACCAATATGGCCATTCCGTGCCGGTGCAGCTCATGGTTAGGTCTCCCGAGCTGCCATGATTGTCATCATAATTGCACAATTATTGCCTCAATGGCATGTCTCAGGCGAAATAACCGGCCAGTGGAGATGTCAATGATATACATGTCTAATTGCGTTGAAAGGTTTCAAGGTAATGGAAAGCTTAGAAGTACCAGCCAATAATATAGAGTACAGAAACAGAAAGTTCTATGAATCCCAACAAATAGACGTGCGTTGAAACAATTCACACTGTACTAAGATGTTAACGCACACGGGTGATATTCCTAGTAATATTGGATTTGGGAGGTGCTCTCACCAATCAAATCCAAAAGTGCTCTGCATTATTGTATCATGGAGGTGAAGTACTAAAATCCAACATGTTGATCGAAATACCACCTCTGTAACGAGTGAAAGGTTTGGCCAATTTGGTCTTCTCTTACATGTCAATGTGCTCAAGGTTCTCTCTCAAGTGGGTGGGTGATATCCGGAAGGTGAGAATGCACCGAGTAGATTGCAACCTCATATCTGCGAGCTGCTTTCTATACAAGTGCCAAGCCACAATATTATGCTTGGTGAACTGGTAGATAACAAAACTATGCACAACGGAAACAGCGTATTCATGATCTTGCACAAATGGAATCGGTCCCTCACTCATATACCGTGATACCCCGGGTATAAATGAGCAGGCGCTTGTACCGTATTCCCCGCATTTAGGACCCGAGTGACTTTCTTGAAATTCATGAAAAAAAGGTCGGGGAGACATTATAACGACATGGGTTTTACAAGACCCTTGGACATCTATTTTTCCCGTAATGAATCCATTAGATTGTATATCTTGAAGGAGGGGGGGGGGGAGAAGGCACTATAGCTACACCGACATGTTGGCCTTCTAGAGCCTCTGGCGTTCACACCGCGAGAGTGTTAACCGTTCTCCAGGTGCAGCGCAGAGTATTCTGATTACATCCCCATCCCCGCCTGCTCCTCCTACTCCACCCGCACCGCCTGCTCCTCATGCAACCCCACCACTTGTTTTCCTCGGGTTACAGGAAGAGCACGAGCCTCTCTGCGGTGAGGGTTCCGAAGAAGCAAACGACAAAAAAATTATTCCCGAGGAGACGAACGATGCTGATGATCCTGCTGGCTTCTCCGTCCTATCCTTTCCTGACAAGATTCTGCATGACGACTCCACGCTGTCGATGTCACGTGACTCCCTCCCTCCTGAGCATCGTCGAGACATCATCGTCGAGTGGCACGTACTATGTAGGAGATGGTGGGGGATGACTGCAGAAAATCTCTCTGTCTGCCACACGGCTTGTCTCGCCAGTGTGCGTGTGCCACTGGATAAAGGAGGCGGCTGAAATCAAGAAGTCTGCTAGATGCAGGAGGCGCCTTGGTGCGGGAGGCCGTAAGGCCAAGTACTCGAAATTGGAGAAGTATACTTACTGCAAGTTCCTCGCCTTCCGAGCGCGAGGTCTGGCGGTACCGATAAAGCTGCTCCAGCAGTGGAGCCAGACTTTGATGGTGAAGAACCGTCCAGACGTGAAATGGCGAGTGTCTTCGTGCTGGACGTTCCGCGCTCGGCTTGGGCTCTCCATCCATGTCAAGACGAAATTGGGGAAGCGTCTTGTGAAAAGTCAGCAACGTCTAACGCTGCCTCTGTGTGATTGTGGTGTTTCACCAGCTGCTTCCTTTCTGTGTTTGTGTCATTTAACCACCGGCTACCTTTGTGTGTTTGTTATGTTGAGCCTGCTGGTGTAATCCATTCCTCCTCCACGCTTGTTTTGGTGTGCCAAGTGCAAACCCAGGTGCATCAGTTTCTAAAAGTTTGTGAGGAAGAACGACATCAAGCACGGAATCGACCCATGCCACATGATGAACGCTGACCAAACGCCGATATATCTTGAGATTGCGTGTGACTGCACCCTGCACCATCGTAGCAAAGGCTCCTTCCACATCCGAAGTGCCGTCATGGTCGGTGTGACGACGACCAGAGAGAAGTTGCCTCCGATGGTCATATTCAAGCGCAAGACCATCCCGAGGATTCACGTCCCTCCGGTAAGTGAATTCCTCCTGGTCCCTAAAATCCGTCCACCTGAACCACGCTAACACTAACTTGAATGCGCCCTCCCATTAACCCGTGCAAGAATCCTCGTACCCACAACGCAGCAGGATAGATTCAAAGCTTGTGGACGACTAGGTGAAGCACGTCCTTCTCCCTTTCATCAAGCCCCGGCCTGGCATCATCAGGTCCAAGACCCTCCTGGTCTTGGACTCCTACCGCAGCCATCTCACTAATGCCATGCTGGGGAATCTGCGCTGGCACAACGTCATCATGGCAGTCATCCCCGGCAGGTGCACGCCGCTGCTGCAACCGCTCGATGTGAGCATTAACCGCGCATTTAAAGTGGGGTTGCACTAGTTTTATGGAGACTGGTTGGCGGAGTATGGCACCAACACCTTCAGACCTGCAGTTTCCTAGAGGTCTACCCGTTCATCTTCCGTTCTCAGCTCAAGTTGTGAGGCTGAGATCTACGCGGGGGCCATGGCTGCACAGGAGTTACGCTGGCTGACCTACCTGGTCATTGACTTAGGTGAGCGGCCTCGTTCTCCTCCAGTCCTGTACGTTGACAAGAAGGCCATGATTGCCTTGTGTCAGGAGCAGAGACTAGAGCATAGAACAAAGCACATTGCTCTTCATTACTTCCTTGATCGAGAGCTACAGCAGCATGTTCAGCTCCGCCTTGCCTACGTGGCATCCTAGGCCAACACTGCTGATATTTTCACCAAGGCACTTGTGTCTGGTGATCATCAGCGTTTCTGCACTGCTCTAGGCCTTGTGCCTACTCTGCCTCACTTGCTTATTGCTTGACTTTGCTTTTAACTGCAATCGATATATCTATACCTGCATTCGCACTCTTGTTAGGTTGTGATCATTGTACTACTTGTGCTTTTATAACTCTGCATGTGAACTGGCCTTGTGGCCACTTGCTCATGCTCAAACAGCGTGGTGATCTTGAGATCCAACCTGAGCTTTGTTTTCTTTGCTTCTCTTGACTGGTCTTGTGACCATTTGCTTGTTTTGGTCATTTTGATGCCTCTCACTTTGGCTATGGGGGTGTGTCAAAATATTATATTTCTTCGTTAGTATATAGTGGGATGCATCTTATGGGGTACAACTTTTCTCTATACATTCTACTTGTACTCCCCCTTGACCTAATCATACCATCCTGCTTTAGTATTCTAACAATCGGGTCTATTACGAATAGTAAATTGAGAAGCTGCACTGTGCATTCTTACCTGTAGCAAGAACGAAGGACATAGAAGAGAGTACGAAGGCGAAAAGTCGAAGCGACTCGAACAGCTGGAAAGCATCTGGACCGTCGAAGCAGACAATATCGGGCAGCTGTAGGAGCGAGGAAAAAGGCGGGAATAGTTTTGTAACTGTATGTGCCGCGCGGTTGGGTCTGAATTTGAGTTAGGGAATGTACCCCTTAGAGTACATGGCTAGCTAGGACGTTTGGTATTCCCCTTGTACTCATATTTTTACAGATGTGTTTACATGTATTATTTATCTCGATCATTTTATATTCACTCTGATATGAGGTCAAGGGCCCAATACTACCACACACTCTGTGCGAACCTTCCTGAGGTGATCCTGGTTACGATTTAGTTCCAGATCGCAGCATGGCATGAGAGCGACTCAAGAATCCTTCGCAACGCCACCACCGAAATCTTCGGCAAACTTTAAGTGGCGTCCGGCACACACTCGCGTGTAAGAATGGCCGGTGGATCTAGAGGACAACGAGTCTGGCCGCTGAAACACAAGCCAACCCGGCTGCGACAAACGAGGGGACGACGACTATCGGCACAGCCGCCCTTGCACAACTACTTCAGCGACTCTCAACTCTGGAGCAAAGACATTGCAGAATGGTGACGCGTGATACAGCCCCGCATACCTTCTCCCAAATGGCTCAACTCCCAAGACTCCCCGTCCCAGTGATGAAGCAATTCTCTCAGCACAATCAAGGTTTTTGAGCATATAATAAATTAAGACAAGTGTCTGCTTTGACGCCAGAGACTTCTATACGTGGAGCTTCGAGCTGGAGCTGCTACTACAAAACGTGCAGATATTTCACTACTTCGACGAGAGCTATGCAAGACCTGCTGAAGACACCGCTGAGGCCACGGTGCAATATCACAACGAATTATTAATGGCGTACGACGTCTTACTGCGAAACATGTCGCTGGCGGAGCAGCTGAGCATCCGTTCTTACAA